TAAACTAATTCTCGTGAATGTTATTTTTTATAACGTATTTTTGAGAATTTGAAATATATCCTCTCTTTATTAAACTTTTTTTTTTTCAACCTTTACAGAAGTTGATATATAGGGCCAATAACGTTTTTCATCTATCTTTATTCGGGTGCTTACTTAATTGCACTTCTGCTTCTTCAGCGTGATGACCTCCTTCTGGAGGTCCAGGACTTTCCTCTCTGTTTTTACCTTCAGGAACTTCTCTTTCATCATCGAGTTGTAAATTTTCCTATTCTTACTTTTCAAGCATTCTTCTGTTGAATTCACATGTTAAATTTTGAATTATACTTCAAAAACATTGAATACAAAACTATTTTTTTTTATTATTATATTTGTCAAATATGTTTTATGTATTACATTAACTGGTTACATAAAAAATTATTGTCTACTTTGTTGATAATTTTTAAATAATTCAATAGATTTGTTCTATTTGCTGAAGAAAAAAAATCACGCGAGTACTGCTTTGTGCTATTTCAATTTATTTTTAAAGCTTTGGGTAATTATTAGCCAATTGAAAAGAAGTTACACAATTAAGGTTGTTTTTATTATCAAAAATATACTAGATCATACTCAAATAGATCTTCAACTGTCTCCATTTACCTACAGATATTATTACATGTCTCAACAATACATATTATAATCAAATTACCGGGGGTAATATAAATAATGTGATTTAACTTCATTTTCTCTTTATTTTTGATGAGAGAGAGAGAGAGAGAGAGAGAGAGAGAGAGAGAGAGAGAGAGAGAGAGAGAAAGAGAGAGAAGTACATTTTGCTAATAAATCTTTCTTTTCTTTTCTCTTATTTCTCTTATGGCCATTGGATGATTTTTTCAGCTTCTTGCCTTCCTTGGATGTTAAATAAAGAATATTAATCTACTTTTTTTTTATTATTCATTAAATGAGTCTTAACAATTTTTGTTTCGAGAATTTAATCTTGAAATTAATACTTTGATTTTGATTATTTTTGTCTATCATGAATGATTAGGAGTTTAAATAATAAACATTCACGGAACATCAACATCATTGTGCATTGTTAAGTTAATTTGCTGTGTCTTTTTTACACTTATTTGAAATAACAAAATTGTTCCTGTTATTGCTGAATTTGGTATTAGAAAAAGGGAACTTATTCCAAGATTTTTATCCAAATTGCCAGCAATTATTTATATTTTTTCTATTTCAGATTTAGCCTGAGTTTTAGATTCCCGTAATGAACTGCATTATTATCTTGTTTGTACTTTTCAACATGTGGATATTAATTAAGGTATGTACATGTTATTCTTGTAATATGTACTGTGGAAAGAAATATATATAATTTCCCTTACGCTACCTACGTCAATAAAGTAAAGCTCCTTTAGTACAGACATGGAGATAGGGAATTCACGGATAGAGCGAAGTTTTTCTTTGTTCACTTAAAAATTCTTAACAAATCTTTGTGAAATTTTACGGTTATAACGAACTCTGATGTAACAAATTTACGGAAATAACGAACTGGTTTTGGGTCCCGTTGGGGTTAAATATAATGAAATTTACATTTTTTAAAACAAATTTTCTAAGATGTTAAAAATTCGAAAAATTAAAGTGACTTTATTTTATGTTAGCATTGGTATATAAATTTTAGTTCATATTAATACCTTGATTTTCAAAGTTATGTTTTATAATATTTGCTCCTGTAACATATTTCGTAGTAATTAATACTTGAAGGAAAACATGCATGCGAATTCGCTAAATGTTGTATACGAATTCGTTATACGGATATAACGAATAACGGATATAGCGAATTAAATTCACAGGTTAGGACTTCACTTAAACCGAGTTTTACTGTAATTGATTGGTCAAAATCATCTAAACGAGAATAACGTGGAATTAGATTTGCTAAATATGTACAAACCATGGATCTCTAGTGATTCTTCGATGCTCCTAAGCTATCCCAGTGCTTTAGCTATTCAAGGTCTGAAACCAGTTATTTGAGCTTCCAAAGCTCTCAGATCTTATGTCTCAGAGCAGTGTTTCTAAACACTCTCTATCAAACTTTTATTTTTTCAATAGGTTTGGAACCTATAGCACCCAAAATGGTATATTTGCAGTATATTGAGACCCTCGATTGAAGCACAATAAAGCCCTTAACTTTAACTCTATCAAAGAAAGATACTCATACATCTCTGTATCCAGGAATGAAAATGAGTGCATAATACATTAGTGGACTACACATTAATGACTTGGACATTAAGCCCTTTAGTCAGTTTACATTGAAATAAAACTAACTAGTCAACATGTTCTTATTTCGAATGCTCTACACAAATACGACCTCATTCTCCTTGGCAAGGTTATTGCCTGATGCCATGGCGTCAGGCTCAACTAAGTATTGTTATTTCCGAGATGCGAAACTAAGAGGTCAGAGTTAGCCACGTAGCACAGTTAAGGTTAAAGTAAGGAGGCATGGCCTAATTTGTACAGGAAATGTTTACTATGACGTCACACATAATAGAAGGTCTTCAAAATACCACAAAATGAAGTTATTTGCTATTTTAAACAGCTGGATAGCTGAATACTACATACAAACTTACTAGTACATGCAGTTTTGTCGTTTGTTAAATTCAATACACTTGTCAATGTGACATCATCTCGCAAAAATGACACAGTTTGAACACAGTGGAGACTGATCAATTCACATTTTGTACAATGAAAAGTGTCTTTTTTTCTCAAAGAAGATATTATTTGCAATTAAATAAAAAGCGTTAACTTGAATGCGATGTCTATTATATTATTTCACTTATAAACTGTCCATATATTCTCCAAACAAGTGATGCCGTCGTGTGTTTGTATGCAGATTAATTGAAAAAGTAATGGAAGGGCCATAATAAATTCATTTATTTTAAGGACATACGCTCAATATATCATGTCAAGTTTTTACACATTAACTCAAGAAGCATTAAGATATTTGAAAGTGCTGCGAACCTCACGAAATCTTGCACATAAATTAATTATAGCTATATATAATGAAGATGACCAGCAAAATATTTAACCTGCCGTCCAACAAATTAAGTTTTAGCAATTAAAAAAGGGAATCAACATAGGTTCGCAGCATATTTCACAAATTATATATAGTATTGAAAAGTATTATAAATAAAACTAAGATTTTTACCTTGTTTATGCCCTTGCAATATTGGAATTTAAAGGTGACCTCTAAACTGCAAGTATAATTGCTAAAGACGTGTGACGTCGCTATCACGTGACAAGTCTAAATAAAAAATCTAAATGTGCCCAACATGTAGATTTAAACCACCTTACATCTTTTGATATCAGTGAAGTCTTAAAAAGAATCGCCCATCGTAATAAAGTATGTAATTTTTCTCTTAAAAATTCGGCGATATTTTTATTTGTAACCTTAATTGTGCTGCGCAGTAAAAATTTGTGCATGCTGATTATCAACGGATTTTGTTACCTGTGTTTCAACATAAAAAAATAACCATATGACTTATACAACTGTACAATACACTTATATTTTTAAACACCCCACTTGAAAAGTGGGAGGGTATATAGTAATCGGTATGTCTGACCGTCCATCTGTTACGCTATGGGGTACCCATTTCTTATCCGCAACTGCTTTCATACCACTGAAGGAAATTTAATGAAACTGTCACAGTCTCTTTATTACATATAGCCATTGTGCACCTCTTATTTTACTTTTTGATCTGACATACATTTGGATTTTCCAGAGCAAAACATGAATACTGCCATTATATTCATATAGGAGGCGGGGGGTATTATTTAGTGAGCTCATTACTCACAGCACCTCTAGTTTTCTTTCAGTTTTTTGCATGATGCTTATTATTCCATACGACTTCCTATACAGTCATGTCCGCTTGACCTTTTTCCTGTGTTTCTGTACTACTGGATAAGTTCACTTGTTTTCTAGATAAGAAGTGCACACACGACACACTCATTTAGCACGAAATGTCACGCATAGTTCTTTCCACCCTTCTTCTGGACTATTCAGTTATATGGAAATGAAAAACGCATGAATTATAATAAAGTCTGCTTTTTATCGGAGTCTAGATCGAGCTTTCGAAGAAAAAATAAATTGGTGATATTATCAAGTATGTTTGAAGTTAAATCATTTAAAGAATTCAAATAAAAACGAAAAGAACAAAAACTTCTGCGAGGTTGAACTGGCCAAATAAAATTCTGATATCATATCTCGCTCACCTCCTCCCCTACAGGCTAACAGAAAATTAGAAAGTGTCCACTCACATTTCAGGATTGAGGAAGTTTATTACTTATTTGCTCTTACAAATCGAAAAATAAACATTCTGATTGATTGATTGTATACTGTTTTACGTCCCGCTCCAGAATATTTTACTGATATGGAGACGTCACCATTGCCGGTGAAGGGCTGCAAATTAAGGCCTATGCTCGGCACTCAGGGCCTTTGAGCAGGGAGGGATCTTTATCGTGCCACACCTGCTGTGACACGGGGCCTTGGTTTATACGGTCTCATCCGAAGGACCGCCCCATTTAGTCGCCTTTTACGACAAGCAAGGGGGTACTGAGGACCTATTCTAACCCGGATCCCCACGGGGGTAAAACATTCTGAGTCCGTGCCTATCGCCATTTATATATCACCGTCAAAGAGCTAAATTCACGAATGGGCTAAATCGGCCTAACGATTTTCGGAAAAAAAGTGAGGGGAAGAAAAAAAAAATAATGGAAATATTATCCTAAGGTATTAAACTTGAATAGTTTACCCCCAAATTTTTATTTGACGACGTCATATTTGTGCAGAAAACGTCTAAACACATGCACTTTGCCACTTTTTATAAAAAAGAGCATTTTTGCGTCTTTGGTTCAAATTGCTGTGGCCATACCCTTTGAACAAAATAAAATTTATCCTATTAAGGTTGTATGAGTGTGAGCATTCTACATAACAAAAATTGGAACGAAAGTTGTAAAAGTTGCATACAAAATAATGTCAGTAAAAGTGTTTATATCATTAAATAATCAATAATATTGTACATTCAAATTTACTTCTTATTTTTTTTCTTATTGAAAATGAGTATTAAAATATCTGCATTGTCATCGAGTACGTCTCGTATTTTTACGACAACTGACCCGTTTCCGATCTCCATAGTAACGACAGCGCCTGGATTTCCCAAAATGACGAACAACGGAAAGTGGGACGTGCCGAGGGCGGCTTTGCCACTCGCAAACGGATTTTTTAAATACAGAAACCAGTCAGAAGCAGAAGTTGATTAGTGTCTATTCAAAAACTGGTAAGAAAAAAGTATCGGATACATGTAACACGCCAAACACGGTTACGGGGGCTCAAAATTACACCTGTGCTGTGACTGTGTGCCAATATTTCGACAGTCTATCAAGACGTGTCGTTTTCATATATCCCAGAGGCTAGACAATGTGTTAGATAAAAGTTTTTGGAATTAGGCTGCACAGAATAAGGCTTAATATCAACGAGAAATCAGCTGTATCAAGATATGCTGAGCGATTCAGTAGTGTTCATAACATATTTTCTTCTAGATATTCTTAGTTATTCCCCGTTGTGAAATAGAAAGTACATAACCCGGCATTTTATATGTAAACAAACTGCTCGGAGATTGCAAAGAAACTAATTTGTAATGTAGGTTGAAGCAAAAGTTTGAAGAAATTTAGATTCAGGTATGGATAGGAGAGATTTTCTGTTGGAAAATATGTCTTTAAAATTGAATAAATATGATTCATAATACTAACTCAAATTGTGTTGAAATCTTCAAACAAAAACCTGTCAATGCTGCATCCACATGTATATTTACACATTGTGATAATTCAGAGAAGGCTATAAAGGATATACACATCTATATATAAAAAAAATAATGATAGGGTTGTGGTGGCTGGGGGGAAATATGTTGGTATGCATAAATTTAACACATTTTTATGGTAAGGTTTTTTTTATTAGATCATTTGATACAAAGCACAAATATTTTGTCATTTACTTTTATAAGTAACATGGAAAGTCAAGAAAATTCAATAAAAGTCAATTCCTAGTGAGGGTCAAATCACATTCGAGGTCATATCAGTATAATTTCAAGAAACTTATAGTCACTGTGTTATTTAATTTAATATACTTAATTCATTACTGATAATTGTACATACAGGTATGATTTTTTTTCCCAGTTAGGGATATGATATCAGTATCAAGGGAGGGCATACTGCTTTGCAGCTGTCTGTTTGCAACTGTATGTCTGTTGGTCAGTCTGTCCACCACCAGTTTCTGTTTATTTTCTTTGCAGAGGTTGCATGTATTGAAATGAAATTTGGTATACAGATTTATCATAAGAACATTTAGGTCCAGGTTTGTTTTGGGTAGGTAAGATCAGGGAATTTTTTTACAGAGTTATTTCCATTCGACTTAGAAAATTTCCAATTATCTGGGGGATGGGCAATGAGTGTTTTACAAACATATCTTAACAAGGATTTGTTAATCTTCAAATATCCTTGTTGTTTCACAGGCAGCAGAATATGTCTACAAATGAAGTTTGGGAAGGAACTTTGTAGACTTCTGGATGTGCTGTAGAGGAGTTCTCATGATAAAGACAAAATATCAGCAACGAGAGGTTTTTTTATGGGTAAAATTTTTTACCTTCATCATGGAATTTGACTAACTCTTGGAAAAACTTTAACCCTTTAACTAATTGAACTGATTTTTAAATTTGACCTACTTTTGAAAAAGTCAAAATCTATAGTGGATAATTTTTGAATGAGAGTGATGCAACTCTTATATGTATTCTTTTGTATTGTACCTGTATATGTTGTACCGGTATTTAGTAGGAGAGTATAACATTTATTATACCATATATCTCTTTTAGTTAAGTTTACCTAAATAAATGAATATATAATTAATTTATTTTATTTTAGCCAGAGCATATGCTACACATATACTACAAATTTTGGCCATCAATGGAGAAAACCACTTCAACCAGTACATATTTACATGTACATGTACTACCATTCTACCAAAGACTCCGATTCATCCAAAAGTAAGAGAGATAACTGGAATTAGGACCGGGGGAAACAAAATGTACCACAATGACAAAGAGTGAGGTGAAAGCAGTAAACATAAGGACAGGTCCTACAACCTTTTTGGATTTTTGTCTACCAATGACAGTGTGATGGAACTTGGTTGAAATATAAGATATTATTATGTTCCTGTACTTTTTCATGCATTGATATACTGTCTTGTGAAATTATGGGAAAAAAATGTCACACAGGTTCATGGTTTTCTAGATACTCTTCCATTATTTAAACTAGTCAAGTTTTGTCTGAGCTCATAAAACAACAGTCTGAGCTCATAATACAACATAAAGTTATTGTTTTATATGCTTGTGATAAAAGTTCAGGTATAATATAATTTCATAAAATTTGTACAATATTCATTTCAATACATATTGTATAATTTGGAAATGTTATTGGAATAGTTTTATTATTAAACATGAAAATTTAGCAGAGAAAAGATGTTCAGAGGAAATTTTGGCTGAATATTTTCTCAATAGCTCCACTCTTTTTTCTGAAACTTGGACTCATTGATTGATTGTTATCGTATTACATGTAAAACCTATGCATTTTTTGTTTCCAGTACTCTGCATGTAGTAACATGTATTTGACAAGGATTCATATTTCTCATATCTGATTGTTAGTCAATGGACAATAATAACTGGCATTGTAAGGTCTTATACTGTGAAACATTAACTTTATTTATTTTTTATTTTACAAATGAAAGTTGTTCAAGTATTTATAGATCATAAAATTGTGCCATGCTCATTTTTTATTTAGATTGTTTTTATTGAAATGTAACTGATTTTAGAGAAGTCGTAAGCATGAAAATTTTGCAGAGAAAAGTTGATCAGAGGAAATTCGGGCTAAATATTTTCAAAATGGCTCCACTCTTTTTTCTGAAACTTGGACACAATAATTAATTGTTTTTTTAGTTCATGTAATATCTATGCATTTTTTATTTCCATTACTCTGCATATTGTAAAATATGTGATAAAAATTCATATATTTCTCATATTTTATTGTTTTGAATCATTGGACAGTATAGACGACTACGGAGGACATTTAATGAAACAACTTTTTTTAATTTAACAAATGAATATTTTTAAGGTAATATATAGTTCATAGATTATTGTACCATGTCCATTTTCCATTTTAGCTGTTTTTATTGAATTATAATTGAAGACAAATTTAGAGCAGTCGTAAAAACAAGAATTTTGCAGAGAAAAGCTGTTCAGAGGAAATTCGGGTTAAACATTTTCAAAACGGCTCCACTCTTTTTCTGAAATTTGGACAAATTGATTGATTGTTGTTATATTTTATAAAACTAAATTGTTTTTTTCTGTTTCCATTACTCTGTCTATGTTTTATAATTTGATTAAGATCCACAACTTATGTATTTTGGTCAGAAAAATTAGACGTCATAGGTGGCGCCGCAAGCACAGTTTAGAATATGTTAAAAAAAATTCTTTTTTGTTTTAAATTTTAGAACAGATGTTCCTTGTTTAATAAAAATTAACATTTCAAAATTTTACATAATCATTGACTTATTTTTTTAAACTGGTGTGTGTACTATATTTTTAAGGAAAATATCACACAGAGTTACCTCCCTTAGTTTGGCAACCACTAGGGGGCAAACGGCTACACTCTTTTTCTTTATATTATAATCATGCATTGCTTATACATGTGTGTATCCATTAATACCAAAATCATTTGTTTTCCATTACTTTGATTTCACACTCGTAGTACCTTAAAAAGGAAATTAAAAAAAATGAAGAAATATATCGTTATTTATTTTTTTGTTAAAATGGTGTGGCCACATTGAAATTTATACTTTTTGTTTGATTCAAATCTCTTCGCATAGACCATAAAAGTTGGAATAATGACAGGGGTTTAGGCCTATATACCCACATTAATTGAAAAGAAAGAAGATTCAATATTGTTTTTGTAAATTTATTAATTTTTAAATGTAAATGTTCCATTTATTATAAGTTATTTTGTGTTGTGTTGCAAAAAAGTACGAAAATGTCTCGGAGTCTCTATAAGCATGATGCATGAAGATGCAATAATGTCGACTTGTCGCGCCTCATTCCTAACCCAAGACTTTTTAGTCACGCACAGCTGATCTAGGTTTAACTTATCATTGATTATGCTGAATGTTTAAAAAAAAAGTGTACTATTCCCCCAATCTTATTTATTTTACATACAATGTATGTATGTTTTTTCACCCGATCCCGTCTCGTCGTCTCCATGGTCACTATGTAATCAAAGGGAGATCACCCGAGAAACTTTATTTTCTCCTGAGTGAAGTAGTCGGAATAAAGCTTAGAATATATTTTCAACATAAACAATTAATCGGAAGCAACTACCAGGATGTATATTTAAATTGAAAATTATTGTTTTACCCCTTTACAAAACACAAATTGTGTTTGTTATGAAGTCGACTGGCATCACAAATGTCATAAAAGATAAAAATGATTTATGTTTGGCGGAGTTAAAAGCCATGTGGCCCTATCCAAAACCAACATGCATTTCAAAACTGCTGTTTGCATTTCAAGAAGACCGATTAATTTTAAAATATTTATTATTTAAAATATTTTACGATCCGAGACTTTATAACATATGTAACGAAGTATTGAACCTAGAAAATTCGAGATGAAAAATAAAATATTGATTCAGAAATAAACAATTTGAAAAATATATTGATTTTAGATCGTGTTTAATTTTTGTGATAGGCCTTTATTAGACTGATACAAAAGAATAACTTACTACATGTACTGAGATTGTGACAGCTCTTTATGGTTGCAAGGAAGTAAGTTTCCAGTATCGCCTTCATGCCAAAGAAAAAAAGTCAAAGGGAGACTACTTGCTATCTCTTTTTATTTTGAGTTACTCCTCTCTTGATGAAAATGTAACCTGTTCAACCTCAGGTCTAAGGGGAAAAGACCAACCAAGATTAGCATGCTTGTTTATAGCAATGTAGATTCTTAAGGGAGGTAGAGCCTCGACATAAAATGAGAAGCTAAGAGAGAGAGAGAGATGTCTAGGGGTAATGCCGATATCACCACAATATCATTTTAAATGTATGACAAGTAATTATCTATGGTTGACAAATAGCAATGCAGATAACGTTAGTACCTGTTTATTTATAAGACAATAATATAATTATGTAATGTATATGCCAAAACATAATAAAAAGAAATTAATTGTCTTTCATTTTTTTTTTAAAAATCTGTATGATAAAAAAAAAATGAAGAACAACTGATGTTTCGTGAATTGGTCATTGAATTAATTCATTGTATATGTCCCAAATGTTTTATCATTAAATGATTTAACAGATAAATTTACCTGGCTGTAAGAGATGAAGGCGATGTCTGTTGTATAGAATATAGCTTCATAGATAGCATAGACATTGGAAACAAATTGAAAATGGGGGGGGAGGCTAATTGAAAGTGGGGGACTAAACCACCAAAAATAGGTAAGCCCCAATTTTCAATGCTTATATAATGTCTATCTTTTGCAAAAATATGGGACTGCGTCTAACGCAGCCCCCCCCCCCCTCTCCCGGTTCCAATGCATCTGGATAGGGCGGTTGTCTCTAATTCATTCAACATGGTATCTGGGGGAGGGATTGGTATGGTAATATGTCACTTGACATGTGGTCTAGAACCATATGCTGGAGCTGTAATATTTTTTGTACACTTTGCATTTATTATGTTATTATGCTGTCCGTCCTCACGGTGTGCAACATAGTCAGCAGAAATCATAATGGACATTATCCAAGTCATTATGATCGTTAGAATGTTCATACCGATGATGCAGGCTTATTTTGTCATTGCGCATGCCTTGATAAAATAATTCTTTATTGATAAAACATTTATAAATGTCATGAATAAATTAAAAATTTTCATCAAAGTTGTTGCATGAACTGCTCCCCAAGAACAAACCTTATTAAGTGTCCGGATATGAATCACGGTGCCAAAATGTTTCATACATATATATATATTACAGATGAATTACAGTTTCAAATGCACAACGATTTTTTTCACTCCGCATATATTTTGATAGAACATCGGCATTGTCACATGACAAAGATTGATGATATAAGCACGTGAAGTTAATTTCGTATAAGCGTCAGAACCATGGAGAAGGGGGGGGGGGCTTAAAGCTCCCCTTTTTTGCCAAAAAACTTCATAAAGGCATTGAACATTGAGGCGCAGCTTTAACACCCACCCCCCATTTCAGAACGCACATGTTCATATGTACATATACTGCTCTGTGTGCGTAAGATAGCCGTCAATCGCGGTGACAAAGCATCGATTTTGAACGTGGGGGGCCAGCAAGAGATTTTTTTCCGAAAAAGTTGACAAGCAAAATGGAAAATTGCCAAAACTCAAAAATCCTATTTCGTGGAGGAAGGGGGGGGGAGTAAAAGCAATTTTTTTCAATGCCAATTTTCTTTCTTTTTTTTTTTTTTTGCATACATTACTACATTTCCTTGACATCACTTTACTTCAATAACCAGTGGGGGGTGGGGGAGGCAACCAGCCTTTCAATGATCATTTTCAATAGTAAAGGTAATATTGGGGGGAAAGTGGAGGGGCAGGACTCCCCCCTGCCCCCACCCCACCCCAGTTGCTACGTTTCTGAATCGTCACTATTTTTCGTGTATTACATGTAAAAACAATGTACATTTCAAATGTTCAGGAAATGCCATAAATTATGGAAAAGCAGCGAAATCTTTAAATGACAATATAATAAATGGTGATTTAACTTCAAACATATTCATTTTTGATTAAACATTTTTCTTAGCACTTGACTATTCTCTAACAGTTTGTATACAGTAGGACTATATAATAACACATTTAAGGATATTAAAATCCGTTTTCATGGCTACTATAGTATATATTTTACTACAAGAAATTCAGTTTTACTCAGATTTTTTTCTTTGATAGATTGACACTTTTGTTTCTGTTCAGCTTAATCTGTCCCTTATTTTTCATTAAAAGGTGTTACATGTATCCACGATTTTTCCAGTCAAGCGTTATATATAAAGTTTACAAATAAATTTAAAAAAAAAACAATCCATTTTCTTTAAAAATATTTCTTGAAAAATCAGAGAAATATTTTCCTAAAATTTTGAAGAATGGCCTATACTGGTGATTTTTATTCCATTACCGTACATGTGTTATTTTTATACAAAACGTCAACGTTACGATGTTGAAGCATATAACGTCAACGTAATGACGTGACAGCAATAATTAAGAAAACAATACTAAATTAAACGGTTGCTAAAAAAAAAAACCCAGAAAAGATATTCTTTAAAAATAAAATGTTTTACAACATACTAATCTTAGAGTATAATTTCAGAAAGTTTAATTTATTTTGATGACTAGGCTTGAATAGATGACTGCTCATTGGTCTTGAGTGCAAAGTATTTATAGCTCTCCAGTAGTACAGGCACCTCCATTAAACAAACGAAAAACAGAAAAAAACTATTTTTTACAAGAAGACTCTGTCCAGACTGAGCCTCTAGTGGTTTGTACTTTCATAACAAATGAGAAAAAAGTAGCAGTTGGGACTTGAAACTTTAGAACAGCAATTAGAATAATGGTTCTTGATTAAGTCTCTTTTTGTGGTAATATATTGCAAAATAGACTACAACTGTGGGAGTAGCTTTTATTAAAATTTTACAGTATATTCAATTATAGTTACCATGGCAACATCATTCATCAAAATAAAAAAAAACCAATACAACACAATTATGTATCTCAGTGTAGTCTACTAACATGCCACATTATATTATTATCAGACTAAAACTGTATTTGGAATAGCATTTTGGGAGTATTTTACTGACATTTTTATATATAGCGACTACGGCAACAATTATCATCAAAATCCAAAAACTGATATATAGAATTATGTTTCTTAGTGTAGTCTACTTGTGTGCAAAGCTAATTGAAATCAAAAGTTGAGTGTATGAGGAATAGAATTTTTTAAATATTTCACCGAAATTTCTTTGTTTAGTAACCAGAGCAACACTTTTCATAGAAATCAAAACCCAATACACAGAATCATGTATCTTAGTTTAGTCTCCTCATGTACAAAGCTAATTGAGATCAGACAAAAATTGCCGGAGGAGTAGCATTTTGAATGTATTTCTAAAAAAAAAACATTTTTAGTAGCCACGACAATACCGTTCATCGAAATCAGAAACCGATATACAGAATTATGTATAATAGTGTAGTCTATGTGTTGGCTAAGTTATATTGAACTCAGACAAAAACTATAGGAGGAGTACTGGTAGCATTTTGATTTTTGAAAACTTGTTTACAGATAGACAGACGGACGGACTCCGGACGCATTACCATCGCATAAGATCTTCTGGTATTTGACTGGTTGAGCTAATAATCAGTTAAATTTCTTTTTTCATGCCGCAACTGCTAAGACATGGGTCTTAGCTCTATACGTTGTCATCTAGGTGTTCCACTGTTGGACTCAAACCCGCAAAGTTTGAATAAAATCTATGCCACGCAACTCTAGAGCGAAAGTTGAAACTAGTTCACCATTAGATATTAGACTGAATACGTCGACATTTTATTAATGATTGTTTTTAGAAAAGATGACAAAGATATTTTCTGAATTAAGTGTTCACGTACAAGTATACATGCATACAAATTAATTTTTTTTATATAAATTATGCTTCCTGTCAATTTGTCTCTATAAAGCACATTCCCTACTATTCTCGCACAGTGTTCTAAGGATTTTTAAAGCGTAAGCATATTCTGCCTAAATAGTGCACGGATTCCATTTCTGAAGATAATCCGACAACGCCCACACCGGGGAGCGAATTCACGACCTTGAGATTGTCAGTCCAACGCGCTATCGATTACACCAGAGACGCCGTTATCTATAGTATTGTACTATAATATATATATACACTCACGTGCCAAAAGTATGTCAATTTTTTCACAAAATGACCGCCATAGTTTTTGTTTACTACGTGAATAAAAATGATGCATTTACCTTATTTCTTCGTATTTTGACTTAATATTTTGTGATGAAGCCTTTGGATGCGATCACTTTCCGACATCGTTTCGGTAGACTGGAGTAGAGAGGCCTGAGGTAAGTTTTTGACAGATTGTTCCAAGCATACTGTAGTTCGTGTTTCAAGTCGTCGATGGTACAGATGTGGAAAATTTGACGTTTAACATGATTTTTCAAAACAAGCCAGACATTTTCAATTAGGTTTAAATCAGGGGATTGCGGGGGCCAAAAAAAATGGTAGAATGCCATTCCTATGTTTCCAGTCTTCCGTCTCTCGTGAGCGATGAACAGGGCAATTGTCATCCATGAAATGCCAGGGTGAATTTGCAAAATATTTTACTATCACGGGCCATAAATGTTCATCTAACACACTAATGTACTTCTGCGAGTTCATATTACCATCAACAAATGCCAATATTCCAGCTCCATGGTATGTTATTGTCCCCCACACCATTAACTTCAAGCAGCGTGTTTGCCCTTGTCCAAGATACCCCAGGCAATAGCCTCTCCATTTCTCCGATGTTTTCCTCCAAACTTTAACTTTACCATCTGGTTTTACAACTATCGTCATTTCATCACTGAAAATAACATTCTTCCATTGTTGGTCAACTTTCCAAGTTAATTTTCCCCTACAATACTAAAGTCGTTTCTTCCTGTTCACTTCACAGACCCCCAATTTTTTTGCCACAGTCCTTCTCCAATACTGCTGACGATGAAGCTCGCGCTGAATAGTTCTCTTAGATACAGAATTTGGCACTGATCTGTTGTATTCATCGGTTATTTCCGTTAAAGTTTTTCTTCTGTCTTTTTTTACGATTCTGGAGAGCGCCTTGTGGTCGCGAACTGTCATGGATGGGGTCGTCCACGTCGAGGTTTATTTTCAACGTCTTCCCGCTCACGAAATCGCTTTAAGAATCGACAAATTGTCGAGGAATTCAAATTCAGTAATTTGGCCACTTTAACCGCTTTTAATCCACTTTCTATTAGGGATATTACGGTCTTCTTTTCATCAATAGTAAGTTCTCGTCCCCTTCGTCCCATGCTTGTTGTTTACATTGACAATGGGAAAATAGCAGAAGTTATGACTACTTCCGGTTTACAAAGGCATAACATAATATACAGCAGCTTAATGGTGACATAAGTAAGTCAAAATTCGTGAGTGAAAATAAATTTTTATTGAAAAAAAATTATTGATTTAATTTATTTATTGCGGCCATCTTGAAAAAAATGAATACTTTTGGCACGTGAGTGTACTTAGTTTCAAATATTTCACACTTAAGATGAAAAATAAATAAAATAATTCTTCTAAATTATTTTAATGCAATCCCCCCACCCCCCCCAAAAAAAAAAAAAAAAAAAAAAACAGACAAACAAACAAAACAAACAAAAAGAAAAAAGAAAAAAAAACTCAGCTGCTATCTCAACATTATTCCTAAATCATGGAACATTCAAAATTAAAGAAAAATATTATAACGTACATGTTGAACAGAGTGACGTCATAATAGAGTAAACGAATACAACAGGTGATGAAACATTGGGAATAGAGAAAATACTGCCCATTTTATAAGTGCACTCCCCTCCGCCCCATTACCGTTTGTCAAACCTTGACTACTATTAATGCATAGTGCATACAAAGTACAACACTATACTGTAAACCAAGTATTATACGCGTGCGATAAATATCCGCGAGTTCCCCGAGTAACCTCTGCTCGCGGATATTTATCGTCGCGAACCAGTTGTTCATTATATTCCCATATCATGATTTATTTAGAGTTATTTGCCCGTTTTTCAATACCGATCCCGACGGTTCAACAAGTAATCACGGAAGAACATTACTGTTAGGTACAAGAAGCAGTTGAAATTTAATTACAAACATTCAGAAAAAATAAAAACGAATGGCAAATCTAAAACTGTTTGTCTAAAAATGATTAAATGTCAATAATCATTTCAGCTTGTGTTATTATTGTTCATTTATTGTTACAGACGAGTTAGAGATAGCCTGGTTAATTACGGCTAATTATGGCCCAGTCCTGCTCTGTTCAAACCATTTATAATAATTGCCCCTTGGCCGTGTAGATCTTAGAAAGCGTCGATTTAATTACCCAATTAGCATGAGACACTTTTACAATTGAGAGTTTTAAATCGACTTTAATCTCCTAGATTTTTCCCCGATTTTCGTTTGAGCGTTGTGAAAATGCGTATGAAGTATATTCATGGTAAACATTTTATATACTTTAGGGGCGGATATAAGATTTTAAATGGACGCAATGCACAGAATGTTTTGAATAATGCGTAAGCAGACCTCACGCTACCATTTTACCTAGTTTATGGGCGGATATAAATTTTTTATTTGATTCAAAAATACTCGTGGAAATTAAAAAAAATGTGACCACTCGTTCGCGGAAATAAATCGTCGCGGATAAGTTCTCTGGCGGTCAGTCGCGAATAAGAAATGACGCGTATAATAATTGGTTTACAGTAATATGAAAACTGATATACCACTCTTATAATTGACTTTAATGCCATAAAAAGAAACAAAAAAGAGACATAAAAGAAAAAAAAAGAAACAGTATTTGGTTTCTGTTTTATATTTATTTTAAATAATTCTTAAAAATTGATTATATAAATATATTGATTATATTTTAAATAAATCTTCTCCGATTTTAATGGGCATCTGCCGTTCTGTTCATGCGTGAATCGTTTAATATAGGCGGTCACGTGACCTCATCTTTAGCGTTCTGTCATAAAGATTAAAGATTTTTCTGAGTTTTATTAATCTTTCCATGCGAGTTAATTTTTATAACAAGAACAGTTCATTTGTCAGTAATGATCAAATCTCGGCAACAGAATGGATGGATTAAAATATCCTTTCCAGAAATAATCATGGTGGCAATCAAACCAAATCTTCTGTCTCGGGAGAGACCTTTATTCAAGGTGGATAGAGAATGGGTGCCTCCTTATTACCACATCTAATATGTTTACAATCTAAAGTAAAAGATATCTTAAGTATTAATAATTACATTATTGTTGTTATATTCAACAACCAATTTTTCAAAGTATAAAAAGAAGGTTTTTGAATGCAATTGCTTAATTAAAAACATATTGATAAATCCTATCATGGATAGAATTTATAGAAAGTCAAGTGTCTTAATGAACTGTGTACAAATTATTATACGCTAATTTTAAAGAATTTCTAAGATAAACCATAAATTGTACAGTTGTTTGTTGAACAAGTACGACTGAGGCAACCATTTTTCGACACAAGTGACCTATAAAGTGACGTCTTTTTCACATTGTGACGTCACAAATAAGGATCAAAACTTTATTCAGCATATGATTTTTATAGAACTTTCGTATGGCTATGTATGTTCCATTTTTTCCCTAATCTGTATTGTAGATTTGAAGATATAGAGATAGTTCGCTAACTTTTAGATTACCCCTTTTATATACATAAAATATTTTATTTTTAGACTATGTCTTTGAAGTCACAGAAGACTGTTTTAGTCACGGTGGTAGAGCATTGTCCTGCCAATCATGATGAATGGAAAATCGCATCTGATAGAAAAAAATGTCAGGAAATATCTGACATAATATTTGATGAAGAAAGTCCTGTGTACCATTGTGTTCCAAGTTATAATACAAAGAAATTTTATGAATTGTGTGCCGGAGTCCGACATATCGCTTTTGGTAAGATATTAAAAAAAAAAATACCCAATTAAAGAAACAGAGGTAGTAGAACTCAAAGATGGTGAAAGATTATCGTAAAAAAACCGTCTTGCTTTTGTTTGAAATAAATTATACTTTTACTGTGTACATATTAAAAAAATAATGATGTTGAAGAAACGTCACTAATTCATGCATTTTGTTGTCTTTAGTATTTTTCATCACGTTTTGGTTCAAAAGTGTATAGGGATCAGTTAGATACGAGAAGTACTAATATATATGTGACATAATGATGAACAAATATCATATTTAATGAAAACAATTTTTGCAGGTTACTGTGTAGAGTATAATATCTTTTCCAAGAAGGTGCAGGAGAAAAATGAAAAAAGATGTTTAAACTTTACAGATCATCCATGTCCAATGTACTATCCGTCCAACGAAATATATAAATGTAAGTTTAAAGAATGCTGTATCAGGCATTTTTTTTGTATACGTAATGTATTCTATGAATATCAGTGCAAATTATAGAAAACTTCCAAGGTTATTTTTCAAGTCATAGTATTCAGGGTATTTTTAGATGTCTTTAGAAATTGTATAATTCTAATACTGTTCACAGTGGATATTTTCGCCATTGTTTTTTTTTTTTTTGTCTCTTTCGTCCTGACCTTCATTAAACGAATTTAAAATGGGACAATTAAAAAAGAAAATACACGATAGTCTAGTCCTGATTTTTAAAAGATGGCTTGAAATAAGATTTTATATATTAAAGACAAATACTCCTTTTTTGTCCAGCATAATACTGAACCTATTTCGGTAAAGTTAAATCCGAAAAAAAGTATATTTGCCTCCATGAAAATTGAAAATGACGATTGAAAATGACTGACACTCATTTTTTTTTTTGTAAATCACCAGAGCCGAAGGGTCAAGTAAGCCTTTTTGATCACATTTTGTCCGTCGTCCGTTCAGCTGTCTAGCTGTTCGTCCGTCTGTAAACTTTTCACATTTTTGACTTCTTCTCAAGAACCACTGGGCTAATATTCACCAAACTTAGTACAAGGCATCCTTGGGTGAAAGGAATTTTAAATAGTTTTAATGAAGGGCCAAGTCCCCTCACGAAGGGAGATAATCAAAAAAAAGACAAAAATAGGTTTGGGTCATCAAAAAATCTCAAGAACCACTAGGCCAGAAAAACCGAAAAAGTTAATATGACAGTATCCTGGGGTAGTGTAGATTACATGTTGTTCAAATCATGATCCCTGGAAGTTGGGGGGGGGGGGTGGGGGGGGGGGCAAGAATTGCGAATCAAATTTTACATAGAAATATATAGAAAAAATGTTTGAAAATATTTTTCTCAAGAACCACTGGGCCAGAAAAGCTGAAACTAATTCGGGAGCATCCTGGGGTAGTGTAGATTCTAAATTGAACTAATCATGACCCTTGTTGGTTTGGCGGGGTCACAATGGAGAATCAAAGTTTAACATATATTATATATATATTATATTAACATATATTATTATATATGTATGTATATATATATATATATATATATATATATATATATATATATATATATATATATATATATATATATATATATATATATATATATATATATATATGAAAAAATCTGTAAAAATCTTCTCTAGAACCACTGGGCCAGAAAAGCTGAAACTAATATTGAAATATCCAGAAGTAGTGTAGATTCTTTATTGTTCTACATGTTGTTCTTTTAAAAATCTTCTTCTCAAGAAGCACAGGGCCAGAAAAGCTAAAACTTATATGGAAGCATCAAAGGGTGGTGTAGATTTCAAATTGTCTAAATTATACTCAGTTGGGTAGGGTCACAATATGTTTAACAAGGGGGATATGAGGTAAAGAACAGAATGATCATAGATTTTCAGGTGAGCATTGTAGCCCATGGGCCTTTTGTTCATATTTCTCTCAATTTTGTTTAAACAGGAGAAAAAAGGAGTATAATTTTTTAAACAAAACTATAACTTTGCGAATTTTAAATGGGGTAAAAATGTTTGCAAGTGTGAAAGGGAGAAAATACCAAAGAGCAAAAATAGTCATGTATCCAGTTCATGCATCCATTTTAACAATTCCATAATACTTTACTTCCACAATAATTTATTGTTTCAACATACTGTGGAAAATTTGCCAAAAAACTGATACATAAATATTGCTTACGTTTTATTTAATGACATATTTTAATTTCTTTAACTGTAATTTTGGCTTAAATTGAAAGCATTTTAATTCGACACCTGCGCAATCTGTAACACTTTGAAATTGACGTCAAATTTTTTTGTCTAATTCGACATCCTGTCTTTTCGACACACATGCAATTCGTCTCCCAGTGCATGTCGGATTAGACAGGTTTTGCTGTATTTTCCTACATAAATATACTAGCAAACAGTCAGTGACATATCTCATTAGAAAGTGTTGAAAACGAAATATCTGTGCATTTACGTGCCTGACATGAAAACGTGAACTAAATGTCTTTTTTTCTTATTCTTGCTGTATTTCAACTGAGTTTTCGAAGCAAAATTTGTTTGACATACACACCCGTAGATAATTTGCTTTATCAGTTAAAAAATATCTTGTAGGTTTGAATTCTCAGAGTAGTAAGAGAAAAAAAATAATAAATAGACAATTGTGTTTTTCATGATGCAAACTTATTACCTTTACAGACAGGGGGTGTTATGAATTTGGGAAAATAATACAAGCAGATAATGATCATAAAATGACCACCCGAAAGGATCGGATAAAAGACACAATACAAGAAACTACATGGGAATATGAAGAAAAAAGGTATAGAACAGTTATATCTTTGATACCAAAAGAAAAATTTTTCAGCATGCATCATAGATTTTTAATGTATTCAATTCCTTCAAAGTTTTAACTACCCACTTTAGCTGGGGCGCAGAGAGAATGGAGAACCAACAATGAGTGAAAGGTGAAATAACGCTGAAAGAGCCATGCCTTGTGTGCATATTTCATGTGAATATGGTGCCTTTTTCATGTTATGCTGTTGTTATTTCATAATAAAGCACTATGCACCTTCACATGAAATAATATAAAAAACACAATCTTATTATGAAATAACTTCATAAGTCATCTATGGCGTTCCATAGTGAACAATGAACATAATTTAGAGAACGATTAGTGAAAGTAGACCATAAAAGGAACACAAACTCCAGCAAATAGTTAAGGTGTAAATTAATTTTGTTATGTAATGATAATTCTATTGCTGAAATAATAATCTCTGGTTAAAGTTTAGAATTTATTTAAGTCCAAAAGTATAAAATCAAAAATAATATTTTTACACAAAATATTTCTTAAAGTGAGAGTGATCGTGAATTACAGACAAACTCTCGCACGTCTCATCTTTGACAAGTTCTCCCACATTTCATAAATGAACTGATGAAACAAGTTTAAAGACAGTAGTAAAGTTAGGGGAAAGCTCAATGACAATTTATAACACAGGAAACAATTTGAGTAAGCATAACATATTCAAAGAAACACCAATGTAAGATCCGACCATCTTACAGATAACAATTATGAAACACTTGCAACAGTGTAATTTCTGGAGATAAAAAAAATCAATATATTACAAATTCACAGTACATCAATTATAAGATTTCAACAATACCTATATCATTAGAACATCTAAGAAACTAACAAATTGTTTGTTTTTTTTTTTTTTTAAATATGCATTTTTACGCAAGTATATGACAAATGTTCGATAAAAGCTTGATAAACGATTTTGGTTTTTTTCTCCAAAATGTCTTAAATGTTTGCTTTCTCTTGTATTATGCAATTCTGTTGTCCTCTTTTTGAAGGTACACGTACAAATAGAATGATTTCATACTACACATTAAATATTATAAACAAATTGTGTAGATCAATAATTGCTAAATGACTCTGAGTGAAAAGTATAGGTCAAAATTTGAAGCTCTTTACGAGTAATTGGTGGCGTCTTTATCATCAGTGAAAATTCTCTAACGGCACGTTATTCAAATAAAACAAACAAAAAAAAATTTCTGTAACAGACCCTTCTTCTGGTTCATCATATTTATATTCATTAGAAATAATGCAAAAAACATTCTATAAATGGAAAAATTATATATATTACCCAAAGTGAAAGGGCATCAAGACTTTTACAAAGACCTATCTGAATTAAATTTGTTTAAAATGTCATATTTTGGTTCCATCTTTTTACCTCAATGTACTCTTTGAATCAAATTTATTGCTGTTTTTAAGAAGCATTTATAAGTAAAATTTCACAACTTTAAGGTACATGTATATCAATTGTCAGCTTTTTAAGAAAAGTTCACACAGAACCACTTTTCTAACCCAATTTATAAAATATCTAAATTCAACAACATGAATCGTTCAACATTCGATGAAAAAAAAAACGGTTCAAAAATCAACAGAGAAGCATGATTTATTGGGGACTATTTTTATGGTGGAAATTATTATATTATAATTATAATTACGCAGGGGGGATAAGGAAGCATACAAAATATTCTACCTTGACTAAATCAGTGCTATATTATGACGTCATAGTAGGCGAGATGACGTCAATTCTAGAACACAAGTGTTCGTTATATTGGTATTAAGAGATGTAATTTAACTCTAGAAAATAAATAGAAACGTGTTAAAATTAACAACAATGAAATATGCTTACTTTGTTATCCTGTAGTTTGTCATTTTGATTAAAATATACCACCGATGACGTCATATGTGTACATCAAGTAACTTTGGAATTGATTATGTCGTGTAAAGAGAATTTGGCTAAGACAGCATGTACAAAGATACTTAATATGGAGTTTAAAAAGCAAATATCGTGAATATCTTGTGAAATTCATATGGAGTAGAGTTAATAAAACGGGTATGCTAATTTATTTTCATTGATTTTATTCTCTTTCGAAAACAGTCAGCTATAACTTATCCCGGTCGGCCTTTCCTCTATCATTTGTGACAAAAATAATGCATTAGAATAACAGTAAGCTGCATATTTCAAAACATAAAATTTGTACAGATGGAAAGTTTGCCTCCTAAAATACTTGGAAAGTGCTGCTAGAATCACGAGTTAAACATGATTTTACGAAAAATCTCGGTTCATATGTAAAAAATTTAAAACATCGGGTAAGGTTTTGTGCGAATGTGCGGAATAATTATTTTACTGTCGGGACAGTGAAATTCTAGCAGCACTTTTTAGGCAAAATAGATATTTTTTCAACTACATCATTTACTCAAAGAAATTATTAAACTCCGGGGTATTGTTGTTCTGTTAGATTTTTTATTATGGAAAATTTCGCTATTAATAGAAATCACGTGATGCCGTGGTGTTGGTGCACGTCGTTGCGTTATACACTCTTTTATCTTTATGCAATAAATAATAATAGTTTACGTTTATCAGTGGTTTTGGTAAATTCTCAAACTTAATTTTCTTTAAAAATTCTAAATTTCCCGGAAAATGACTTATATGCTTCCTTAACATACCCGCGTACTGCTATGGTTACATCTGATAAAATATGATAAAGGTTAAGGTAATTAACCAAAGAATTAAAATTTTAGTGCAAAAAGGTTAACTTTATTGTACCGTATCATATAGGAATTTGTACAAGTATACTGACACCTATTTTCTATTCAATTTCTAGACATATTATATAAGTTCTAATCCAAAATATTTTTCTAAAAGAAACCGTGATTTAACAAATTTCACGAGTGACACAACTTAACTGTGTTTTGAATTTAAACTAAATTTCAGCTGTTTAAATACCTTATCTTTTTATTTAAATTGAAGTGGGGGAGGGGAGGTTAAGATAGTTTTGGCAAAGGCCTATTGTTCTTATAACCATGATCATTGTACACGTAATAACCAAATCAAATATGGCCGTGTGATTGGAAGCTGTTTAAATTATTGAATCCCCCATCGTTACTGAATAATCGAAGTTATATAATATATACATGTATATTACATATATATTTCTTGCTTTGTCCGTCTGTTTATGTCTGTTTGTCCGCAAATTTTCCAAATTCCTTGTGAACAAGCCCTTATTTTTGGGTAATGACGTATTTGATTTTTGACCTTAACCTTCATGTTTGATAACATTTTGAAAGAATTTATCCAACTAAAGTTGCCTTGGCAATAATTTTTGAAACAGTTGGTGTAAAGGCTTTTAAAAATAACGAGTAAAGGTATTTAAGGCCTAACAATTTGGCTTACTGAGACCACATGCTTCCTCTGGCAATCGAAGTTAATTGACTCTGCTTCGCTATGAATGTGAATGTCTCGACACGTACAGGTGTACTTGGTTTCTTCCAAGTCACAAGAATTTGAAAGAAGTTGTAGCCTAGTATCAATCCCTATCATTTCTAACTACCAACAACCATAGACTTAAAACTACTACAGTCATTGAATTATTACTAGATTACTAAATACTATATTTTATAATAATGATATAAAATTCTTCAATATATTTTGTTTTCGATCTTGTCTTTATGCCTTCATCATTAAAGATTTTTTGTCTTTCAACACATCAATCCAATTTTATCCTTAAGCTTCATAAAGACATTATGCAAATGAAACAATGGATTGTTCCGGGTAAAAGGTAACGAAATCGATCTTTGTGTAGTTTATCAGATTCGATTTTTTAAATAAAAACTATGCAAATGTCACAAATTAAAAAAAAAAACACATATGTGCTAGAAAATTCGTGTCTCTCCAAAATGTTTTTAAGCTATATATTTTTTATATCTTTTAAAAGCGGAGAAGATATAGATTTGAATTATATCAGTTTCTATTTCGAGTTAGTCAAGACGGAAATGGCAATTGTCATTTGCATTTTGAATTAGGGCCATTTTGAAAAAGACATGTACATATACATGTACAAGAGTCGTTCGAAAAGTTCATGGACTTCTCTCATATATGTATTTTTAAAATTATTTGACGTCATATCTTATCACAATTCGGAAGAAATATTTTAAAAATAAATTCAAGTTACTATAAAGCATAGAAACAAAAAAAATAACAATTACGCATGTTGAAAAGGGCATTTAAAATATGTCCAATAAGACCAGGTTGATACAAAGTCATATTGATATCCAGACATAATACTTTATTTTGAAGTCCTATCTATGTGTTTATCAAAACAATGTTGATTTTTTATTTTATTTTATTTATTTTTTTTTTTTTGGGGGGGGGGTATAGAAATAGACATTAACATGTCTAATGTTATTTTTTTTGTAATTTTTTTTTGAAAGTTTATATTTATTATTCACATAAACATCGTTTACTTTCAGGCTAGTGGGAAATGAGGTCAAGGTGACAATTTTTGTGGCAACGGTCTTAACTATGGTTTTTGTTTTAGCATTGGCTATCATTTTACTAAGAAAGAAATGCGCAAAAAGAGGTAAATCAATTTTCCAACACTTTCGTTTTATAAAATTTTGTACAAATGTAAAAAATAAAGAATGGATTTTCATATGATTATAGTTTGATTTAAATACGAAACCTTCTTTTAAAATCCTTTTGACAAAGATATAAGAGGAGTGAAATCATTCTCAGGATAGAATTATACTAATAAATTTAACTTTTGCTTTGAAAAAAATGAAAGGCTTTTAAATCTTCTATTTACTTCCAAAGATAATCGAAATTAAAAGAAAAAAAATCCTTAACAAAACTTTTTACATGTATAAGGTTACGAAAAAAAGGTTTCTATGAAAATAATTTCATTTACATAATAAATTAATTTTCTAAATTGGAAATAGTCGGATACAAAATAAATGATTACTACACATTAATTCATTTTCTTTCAATCTAAGGTTTCGAAAATAAAGAGAGCATAAATCTTTTGAAGAAAGAAGGTAGACAAGATTCTACTTTTATTCTATGTCAACAAATCTTACATTTACTTCTTGGATAATTATATATTTCTGTCTATCTAAGGTAGCGTAAATGAATCCATTGACGAAGAAAGCAGTCTTTTGAAGACAAAAGGTATATGTGATTTACCTTTTTGTTACTACCTATACATGTATACATGCAAAGACTGCAAGCTTGTACTATATTTAATTAAAGCTATTGTTATAATACAACCAATAATTAAATCTTTTCATCATAATAATTTGATTATAATAAAGAACATTTATGAGCATAATTAATTTTTTTCAACATTCATATCATGCATTGGCAGATAAATTGATTATTATAGAAAAATCAGATTTCTTGCATGCTACGCATTAAATTGGCTTTTTTGTAAGAAATCAATAACTGGGTCATGAAAATAATTACAAACGATCCCATATTTAGAAAATATGTGCAGTAAATATTATATTTGAAATCAAATTCAGTCATTAATGGATACAAGTATGTAAATGTACCTCTACGAAGTGTAAATGACAGCTAGTTGGCATTAAATACAAACGAAAATCGTCGATGAGAATTTAAATGTGGGGATGAGTTTTCACCAACAATCAGGCTTGATATTGATGTAGAATCTAAATATGTTTTTTTGTCCCACGCTGGAAGGGGGTATCAATTTCGATTTTTACGCCCGTCCATCTGTCCGTATGTCAGAATCTGGAGAAAATACGCGCTTTTTCTGTATAATTGTAAACAGCTGCTCCCTATGGACCAAGGAAAGATGTCTATTGATTTTGAATTGAAAAGATCAAAAGTCAAGGTCATAAACTTTAGTGAAATATTTTGTCTGTTTAACACGTTCATTTACGCGCGATATCTTGAGAAGCCTTTGAGCTATTACAATGATATTTTATATCACAACTCCTGAAGAACCTTACTCATTCTTAGGTAAGAAGGTCATGGGTCAGGTTAAAAAAGCCAATGTGTGTGTAAAACATTCCTTTCTTCGCAGTACATGTATATAAAGAAGTTTAAGATTTTCTTTAAGGTTTACCATTAAAGAAAGGCTTGGGAGGTTTTACATTTTAACATAGTTCGATAGTCATTATAATTACGAGTAAAATGATATACAGCACAGTTACTATCTCTTTCGCTGACTAGAGATATTACTAAAAATAGCTTAGTTTACACCTGAGAGCTCGCACTGAAAATCTCTGTATACCGGAAGTGACGTGTGTGACGTCACAAGTGTGACTTGCAGAATAAGTATATATAAGTTAATCATCAACACCGTCACCTTTGGCGCAACCCTCAGAGGTTTGAAAACTGCAAGACGCAATAAAATGTGAAGATAATAAGCAGTGGTCATTTTCAAAACTAATTTGATGTCCTGTTTTCGTTGCCTACAGGTCTTGTAAAATTTTAAAATCAAACGCATGCAGGCAGTACGTTAGTTTCATTTTTTGATTTCTAATCCGATTTTTTTTCTTTATTCTCTCTTAATTTTTTTGAGTAATTTATTTTCTGTTTCGATCAGTTTTCCTACTCCATTTTTGTTCTTACACATTTAATTTACTAAAAATTTCTTTTTTTTAATTCGACCATAACCTTTAAAGCGGTGGTACAAGCACCACAACCCCCCTTCTAAAAAAAAAACATCGCTCATATATTTGATCAATTAAATTGTAATGAAGTGCCGGATCATTGTTTTGAAGTTCACATCATCGGTAAAGTGCATGTTGTAGATTTTTTTTTTTCCAAACCTCTTTTTTTCCGTATTCTTTTTCAATCATTGATGTTATTATCAGAAGATCATAATAATTTGACATTTGGAAGCTGTTCACCCCTTTCTTAGTATTGCCGTAACCCTATCTCAATTTACTTTGCGATTGTATTTAATCACTGCTTATATTTACGCTTGTGAACTCTTAATAATATTGTCTGTTGAAATTCTTTTTTTATCTCTGTAAATTAACCTTTTATAAAGCCATTTCATAAAGCATATGATTTTAATTTTTTTTTCAATCAGGAATGAAATAAATTTCGACATTTTTATTTTAAGATTTACCCACCCTGTCATAACCTGACTATAAAAATGAAAAGAATGAAAAGTTAAATAGGATTTAAAAAAAAAAATTAACTACGTTTTTTAAATAAAATCCTACAATCGTCATTAATTTGTGACTTTATTAAGTCTATTGGGGGGGGGGGGAGTGTTATGGCGTATACACATCACTCGGAGCTTCTTGCATGTCTCGTATATTTATTTGAGTGGAGTGTAGCGGAGTAAGCCGAGGATTGCCGGTTGTGCACATTATGCCAAAATGATCTTTCTATCACAAATAATTGAAGTTTTTGCTTGCAGTCACATGCGGAAATTTTACCGAGAACAGTGTGTATATGGATTTTCAGGGGCGAGGTGCATTTCACATCGTCTGTAGTTCTATACATCAATTGTCTTGTTCTCATTGGCACTGAATACGAATTTAATTGATTATTTAATTTACATAAATATAACTGTCTAACTTCCATATTACAGTAATGTTTAGATTGGACATCTACAAGGTAGAATGTCGATCATCCGGTACCCTTGACTTGTTCAATATTGAATAAAATATTGCATGAAACAACGTACAAACTCGTGAATAATGTGACACATAAAAACAGATTATACCTACATATCAATTATATTTTAACAATTTTATTAAACTCACTATACTCTGAAAGTCGAATTTAGCATCTGACTTTGAATTGAATGCGTTGCATCAAGCCTAGATATATACGTAACCTTAAACAAATTAAATTCCTCAATACTTTAACATGAGAATTAAAGCATTTTTTTCTCTTCACAAAATTGTAAAACATACAAATTTAATCTTTTAAAATCAATTTATACAACTGCAAGCAACGAAGTAACGTGCCTTTGATCTAAATTAATTTTAAAAAGTCATGCATCCAGTTTTACTGGAGGGGGTGGGGTCATTTGTTAAAAAAAAAAAAAAGATCGACAATGAAAAAATATTCTAAAACTTAAAACTAGAAAAAGAGTGGGCTCCCACAACAAATGAAAAGAATAAACGCAAAATTAAAATCAGTAGGGACTAACATTATTGATGCTTTCAGCTGTTTAGGCCTTTATATGTTAAAGTTTTTTTTTTTTTTTTTTTTTGGGGGGGGGGGGGTACTCAGTAAATAGGTAATGTGTCGAATTGTGTTTTTATTAAATATATATTTTTAAAATAATGATTTAAAATGCTACTTGTGAATATTTTCTATCGTTTTACTTATATACCAATCAATAGTATGCAAACGATTTGCTTCCTCAGGTTCCGCATCGTTTATGGTCGATTCTTCTTCGTCTGACGGTTCACTAGCCTAGGGATCAAAACGAGAGGGTTCTACTCCCACATTTTCTATATTATTCCATAGCAATGAATCCTCATCAAAACATGACAAGAAAGTTCTAACAAATCTTCCTCTACTGGACTATCAAAATTATCAGAAACCGCGTTTTCTGTCTATCAGTTGAGGGAAGCGAGACACACTTGTGACGTCATTTAACTTGATTGCATTTAAACCGGAAGTGACATTGTCAAGGATTGTCGATCGTTTTCACAGGTGCAAATGCAGACGTTCAACGCTGATTATCTTTGAAACGGCGGGACCGATTTTAGTCGGATTTTCGCCAAAATGTTTTCTGAAACAGGTAAAGTGAATTACGTTGATGAGTAAAAGTACCGTGGCCTATCTTTAAAGAACAAGATATGGTTTCCGTCCAAATATTGCCCTGTGAATTTCTAAAAGAAAAAAAAAACAGGTGTAAAAGATGGAAATTCATTCTTTCTAAATCAGAATTCCATGCAGAAAAATCCTACGCGGGTATGTTAAGGAAGCATATAAGTCATTTTTCGGGAAATTTAGACTTTTTTAAAGAAAATTAAGTTTGATAATTTACCAAAATCGCTGATAAACGCAAGCTATTATTATCTGATGCATAAAGATAAAAGAGTGTCTAACGCAATGACGTACACCACCACCACGGCATCACGTGACTTCTATTAATAATATTAAAAGCTAACAGAACAACAATACCCAGGAGATTGATAATTTCTTTGAGTAAATAATATTTTGCCTAAAAAGTGCTGCTAGAATCCAACTGTCCAATTAGTAAAATAATTATTCCACACATTCGCAAGAAACCTTACCTGATGTTTTGAATTTTTTACATATGAACCCTGATTTTTCATAAAACCATGCTTAACTCGGGATTCTAGCAGCACTTTCGAAGTATTTTAGGAGGCAAACTTTCAATACGTACAAGTTTTATGTTTTGAAATATTCAGCTTATTGTTGTTCTGTTGCATTAATTTTGTCACAAATGACAGAGGAAAGGCCGACCGGGATACATATATACCTGACTGTCTTCGAAAGAGAATAAAATCGATGAAAATAAATTAGCATACCTGTTTTATTAACTGAACTCCATATGAATATCACAAGATATTAACAATATTTGCGGTTAAACTCCATTTCACGTGTCTTCGTACATGCCGTATTAGCCAAATTCTCTTTACACGGCATGATCAATTCCCAAGTTACTTAATGTACACATATGACGTCATCGGTGGTAGATTTTAATTAAAATGACAGAATTCTGAATTACAAAATAAGAGCATTTTATTTTTGACAATGTTTACACGTTTCTATTCATTTTCTAGAGTTAAATAACAGCTCTAAATACCAATATTACGAAAACTTGTGTTTTAAAATTGACGTTATCTCGCCTACTAAGACGTCATAATGTTGCACTCATTTAGTCAAGGTAGAATATTTTGTATGCTTCCTTATTCCCCCTGCGTACAAATCATTTTCTCACATGTGTTTTAAATGCTAATTATGACGTCAGAAACATGTGTATCTTTCTGCATTTTCTTAAAAAAATGTAGAAGACACCAGTTTTCAATGGAATTTTCTATACAAATGTCCACAGGCATCTCCCACAAAGATTTTTAGATATGTTATTTTTTTTTTACTTTTGCACAGAATATCAAAAAATTAAAGTGAGCGACCTCTGTGGACACAATTTCCTAATGGAAAATTACCCTTGAAAAGATCCGTTTTGAAGCTTTTTCTAGTTAAAATAGAGAAAAGTGTCACTTAAGTCATATTTGCAGAATGGTTATTCTTCATACCATAATCTTTCCTGATTTATCACGTCATATATGCTTAACTAATATTTGAGCCAGTTGCAAAACTTTTTTGATATCATTACATTTTCAGGGCACAATAAAACTAAAATCTTATCTTCTTTATACCATAACTCCCGCTCGACTAAAAGTACCCTCTTTGACCCACCTCCTAGATCCTTTCATTTTCTACTTTTCTTCTCTCTACTTTAGGGGAATGGATATTCTCTAAATTACTTACATACACATTTATTTCTCCTATTTGTACAAATTTTAGAAATAATGAGGATTGTTGATTGATTATATATTGTTTAACGTCCCTCTCGAGAATTATTCACTCCTATGGAGACGCCTAAAT